GGTTCCCTCCTGCTTGTTCCACCTGCTCACCTTCCCCCCGTGTCTACCTATGGGGAGGGGAGTGGTCCCCCTCCTGCTATGCTTACTGTTAGTGAAGCTTCCCATCAGCAGTGTTGGGTGCACCTATTGCCGGCAGAGGGGCTCCCATTCAATCCGGAGCTGCCTGCCTGGGCCAGCTTCTGTTGCTGGGTTGGGGTGAGGAAGTGCCAGGTCCAGGTTCCTTCTTCTGTGGGGTGGAGGAATACGAGAGGCCCTGCCTCTGTTGCTTTTTCAATCCTGGGCTCCCAGACCGGTTCACCTTCCTTTACCACTTGTCATAGTGCTCCTTAGGTTGCCTCTTGGTTTATCATTGTGCTTAACCATGAAGAAGAGAAGTGGGTCTATGTCATCTTGTCCAACCAGAAGTCCAGTGAGCACATTTTTAACATTATGGATTTGTGTTGCCAGCTACTTTCTTGAAAGGCCATTCTAGCCATGGCCAGTTTTGCTCAGTGGATAGAGCATTGGCCTGCAAACTAAAGGATCCTGGGTTTGATTCCGGTCAAGGGCACATGCCTGGGTTGTGGGCTCAGTCCCCAATAGGGGGCATGCAGGAGGCAGCCAATCAATGGTTCTTTCATCATTGATATTTCTATTTCTCTTTGAAATCGATAAAAAAAAAATTTTTTTTTAAAGGCCATTCTAATGTATATTGCCTCAAAAGCTACACGAGGACCTATTCTCATTTTACAGTGTAAGATCACCTGCCCAATGTCACACAGGAGCACATAGCAGTGCAGAGTCCTGCACAAATCCTGTGTTCTACATCCCCACCTGCTGCCACCACACTCAGCAGTACTTCCCAGCGCTCCAGGAAGCTCACAGCCTGGCAAGGACAGCAGACTCAGGCGTTAAGCTCTGAGGGGGAATGAAAGCAGAAGGGCACCCAGGCCTGAGAGTGAAGAATCAGTCCAGAGAGGACATCCTTGAGCCTGACAAGATGCTTTGCTCAGAGCCCCTGCTCCTGCCCCTTCCAGCCCTCTGTGTTCAAGCACTTCAGGCTCTAGGCCACTGTGAGCACTGCAGATATGGATTCAGATTCCCCATCTGAATATGTCACTGCTGATGACTGCCACCAGTCCTCGGGTGGGAAATAGGGGGCAGATCCAGGCACCTGTGACAGCACAGGCACTGCCTGCCCTAGGAGAACCTGGACACCCAGCCCCAACCCTGGCAAAGTGGATCCCACTGGGCAAGCCACTGCCCCTGTTTGTGCTTTAATTTCCTTCCCTGTGAAATGGAGGCTCTCATTCTCATCCTTCGGGAATCCATGTTGTTAATAGGCCAGATAGACTAAGCTCTGTTAAAATGTGAGAGTTGGAAAGCTTTAATAGGATAAAGCAAATCTTGGCTCTCTCTGGCTTAAAATCGTCCAGTGGCTTCCATCACATTTGAACTAAAACCAACGCCTCATGTAGTAATTGAATTAATACCCTTCACTCCTCATGCTCCTTTACCCTGTTCTTATTTTTCTTCATAGACTTATCACTTAGTGTGTGTGTGCTTCTTTTCAATCTCTTCCCACAAGCACCATGGAGGCAGGAATAAAGTCTTCTTCAATCCCTGAGCCTAGGACAGCACACCACAGATTCCTGCCTCCCTGTCCACAGCTCCTCCCACTGTACCACGCACCTCACCCTGGAAACTGTTTCGTGTCCCTTGTATTTCTTCTCTGTGACTGGCTCGTCTCTGGAGGGAAACTGTCCAGTTCTGGTGCCCTGACAACTTTGCACATGTCCACCTAGGCCATGTAGGCAAGGCTTAACCACAGCTGACCTCTGCCTTGATGGAACATCCAAGGATCCTCCTGGAACATGAGGAGTCAGGTGGTCATGAGAGAAGCTGCCGTTTCTATCCTTATAGGCTCCCCCATTTCTATCCCCCATTTCTGCAGCCATAGGATCTTTCTCATCTGTCACCCTGATTCTGATGAGCTGGGGGTTCATCCCCTTACCTTCCTTCCAGCTTCAGGCTGTCAAATGGCTTAGCTGCAGCATGGAATTGGGATCCTATTATTCTTGTTTCATGTTACCTAGTCCCTATTGTTTCAGTATTATCTTGTGGACTAGGGATGATAACACCATTGCTGATCTTGCTTTTGCTGTCTATGTAAATAATAAACCATTTGGGCTTGATGTATTTCCATCTGCTAAATCTATGACAGAATCTAGCAGCTTCTGATACTTGGAATTTGTAAGTCTGCCTGACAATATTATTTTCATGTCAGCATTATTGTCCCTCTCAGGAGCATCTGTTGAGCATCCCTCATCCAGGGTTGTGCCACCACCCCTCCTCAGGATCCAGCCCCTAGAATCCTATTATTCAGAAGCCTGAACCAAGGAGCATTTTCAGACTACCACATCTAGCTCAAGACCAATCTGGTCAATTGCTTACTAAAAATATATCACCATCCTCCAAAGGAGTTTAAAAAGACTCAATATTGTATCATGACATTCAAAATGTTCAGGATATATTCCAATATTATTTGACATATTGTTAGGGTCACCAAAGGAGAAATGCACAAGGACAAAAGTGGCAAGGGATTACAAATTTATTAGATCATTTGGAGACCAGATGAGCTGAGCCAAAATGGCATCAGCAGTCAGGGACAGAGAGTCAGAAATTTTAAATGACTCTAGGAGGATTTTTTTCTATGGAGAATTCTCTCAGCAGGTCCAGATCCTGGGCAAGTCTGGAGGGGAAAGTTACTGTTCTTAGCAACTGGAATGCGGTCTAAGCGAAAGAGAATGTCAGGTGTGAAATGATCTAAAGGTCAGTTTCCAGAGGAGGCAAAATCCATTTGATTATTTGATCAGAGCTAACACATATGAAGAAACATGAAAACCTCAACTCACAAAGGAAAAGACAATCAACAGATGCTGAGAGTACACAGCTGTTGGAATTATCTGACAAAGTCTTTAAAGCAGCTACTATAAACATGCTCCAGCAAGGACAAACCATCTAGAAACAAATGGAAAGATAGAAAGTTTAAGCAAATTCATATGTAGATAACAAAATGGAACTCTTTGAACTGAAAAATTAAGTAATCAAAAATGTAAAAACTCTCTGCCCCTAGCTGGTTTGGCTCAGTGGATAGAGCATTTACCTGCAGACCAAAGGGTCCTTGGTTTGCATTGTACAATGACTGCAGGCTTCTTCCCCCTACCTTTTTTTTGGGGGGGGGGGCCTGTTAATACCTGTTCTTCCCTTTTTCTATAAGCACAGAACTCCTATTTTTCACTGGGCACACAAGAAACTAAATTTGGCCATACAAATAGGTTGTAGCCAATGAGATGTGTGAAGAAGAGATGTGTGCAACTTCTAGGTCATGCACCTAAAGGGATTGGGTAAGCTTTAACTCCCCCTTTTCACTGGTTGGAATGCAAGTATGTTGGAGTCAGCTTGGACCATGCAGAGGAAGGTAGGATCCTACAGATGGAGAGGCACAAGTTAAAGGAACACAATCCTCTGGAGAGCCTGTGAAGCCAAGCTGTCTGTCCTACCTGCCTCTGGGCCATTAAAAGAGAGAGAAAGCCTGGCTAGCTTAGCTCAGTGGTTGAGCATTGACCTATGAACCAGGAGGTCACGGTTCCATTCCCAGTCAGGGCAGTCAGAGCACAAGCCTGGGTTAGAGGCAGCCGATCAATGATCCTCTCTCGTCATTGGTGTTTCTCCCTCTCCCTTTCTCTTTGAAATCAATAAAAATATATTTAAAAAAAAATAAGACAGCAGTTTAAGTCACAAGGTCCCTGAGATTGTAAGGAAGGGAATGTAGATGATGGGAAGAGTGACAAAGAACTTTAAAGTCATATTTGAAATACCTGAGGAACACACGCAAGTCCTAAACCCATGGTGGGTAAACTGTGGCTCTTTGGCCCCTTGAGTGTGGCTCTTCTACAAAATACCACAAGCTGGGCAAGTCTATTTTGAAGAAGTGGTGTTAGAAGAAGTTTAAGTTTAAAAAATGTGGCTCTCGAAAAAAATTTCAATTGTTGTACTGTTGATATTTGGCTCTGTTGACTAATGAGTTTGCCTACCACTGTCCTAGACTGTCACAGTGCTCCCTCAAGGCACTATGCTTCCCTCCTATGACATCACAATGCTTCCCACCTGCCACAATGCCCCCTGCGTGTTCCTTCTGCCTCTCTCAGCTCAACACACACAACTGGTCAACTCTTTCAGACCTTGGCTAAACCTAGCTACCTAAGGAAGCATCTCACTACTCTCCAGGCTGAGACAGGCCTCTCTATTCTGTCTCAGAACATAAGGACAGGGATCGCTCTCACACAACTTACAAGTTTGAAACTTGACATTTACCTCTGTGGTTATTGGTTGTCTCTCACCAAAGTTTAAGTTCTATGAGGTCAGGGACTGAGTCTGTCTCCTTCTCTGCTGTTTCCCCAGCACCTAGCACAAAATAAGGTATGAATCAATGAATCCACGGTACACAATGACTCCTCCAACGTCAAAAAGCAGAGATCCTTATCTTGAACCATTTATACGCACATCTGCGCTGCACCCTCACAATCATCCTTTTTTTACAGGATGAGTGTGTACTTAGTGTGAACCTGCTGAAAGTCACCTATTCATTTACCGGCGGAGCCCCAACTAGTCTTCCCATTCCTGATGCAGAAACTTGATTAAAGAGATGCCGGCTTGGCCGGACGCTAAAAGAAAGGAAGCGGGGCGGGGGCGGGGTAGGTCTAGAGTCCGCACGCGAGCATCCGCAAGGTAGCCGCCGCAGGCCTCCGGACTTCCGGTTCCCGGGCGCGGGGACGTGCGCGCCGTGAGTGTACGGGGCGCGCGCGCAGGGCGGGGCGTGCAGGGCGGGGCGCGCGTGCGCAGGCGTCGCGCGAGGGCCGGGGCAGAGCCGCGCAATCGCCAGATCCGCTCTCGGTCCACGCCGTCCATCGCGCTGCCCGCCCGCCCGCCCGCCCGCCGCCGCCACCGCCGCCGCCGCCATGGGAGTGCAGGTGGAGACCATCTCCCCCGGAGACGGTGAGTAGGCGCATCCGACGGTCCTGGGGTCCCCGCTGCCGCGCGCATCCGCTCACCGCGCCCGTCTGTCTGTCTCCTCAGGGCGCACCTTCCCGAAGCGCGGCCAGACCTGTGTGGTGCACTACACGGGTGAGTCGGCGGGCCCGGAGGCGGGGAAGGAGAGGAGGGGAGCCACCGGGAGGGCGGCCTGGGGGCAAAGGCCTGAGGCGTGGCGGCGGCGAGGCCCGCGTGGCCGGAGGCCTAGGCCTGGGCGGTGGCAGCGCCCCCGAGGGGGCAGCCTCTGGTCTGTGGAACCCGCGACCGGTTGAGCCGGCGCGCCGGCCTCGGACCGGGTATTACCTTGCCCTTCACAAGCAATTTTGTGCCTCAGATGCTGCTCCTATGCCCACTGCACAGATAAGGAAACTGAGGCTGGGGGAAGCGAAGGCTCTTGCCCATGGTTACGCTCAGGAAATTGGCAGAGCCCCGGGCAGGGACCGTCAGGAAGGATTTGGGTCCCGGTGGACACCCTACTCCCCACCCCACCCCCCTCCACCCTCACACCCCCCCCCCTCCCGGCCCCGGCCCGCCCTCCCTTCTTGGGCGATTAGAAGGGCGAGGCACTTCCCAATCTGCCGAGCGGCCTTTCGCCCCGGGAGGTCGGGCTTCAGCCCCTCTGCCGGGAGGGGAAACGAACACCCCAGTTCCTAAGCCATTGCTGTGGCCCGGCCTGACCGCGGAGAAGCCAGATCTGCACGGCCTTTTGCCTCTTGTTACTTTTGAGACATTTAACACACCCAGGCTTCAGTGGCATGGATGGCCCTGGCTGACAGAACGTGTCATTCAGTCCCCCAGCCCTCCTTCTCCAGACTCTTCTCATCTCCATGTTAAAGATGAGGAAACGGGCCCGGTTAGGGTAACGGACAGTAACGGAAGCCAGAGGAAATGGTAGACCCTCAGCCAGAATTCACATCCGAGCCCCAGCACCTTAAGACCATTTTTTAGTCTATGCCCTTACAAGGCCCTCCTGGGCTGAATTGAGGAGGGGGTGGGGAGACTGCGCAGGCGGAGACTCCCGGCCTGTGGGCGGAGAGGGGGGGAGGGTGGTGTAGCTACAATTGCTGATATGAATCACTTTCCCTCCCCCTCCTCCTTCCCCTTCCTCCCCTTTCCATCCTTCTCTCTGTTCCTCTTCCTTCCTCTTTTTGTTCTCTCCTTTCTCGTCTGTTACTTCGCCTGGGTAAGAGGCTGTAGGCAGTTCTGAGTGGCTCAGGCCTGCCTTTCCAAGCTTTACCCTTCTCTCCCAGACCATCGGGGCAGCCCTCTCCTCTGGTGAAGGAAAAAAGGCATTTAACGTCTCCCTTCAGCATGCTGTTATTTCACTGGCCCTTCTCTGGGGGTGGACATGCCAAGGACCAGAACCTTTTATTATTTATTTGATTATTTATTTATTTACTTATTTATTTATTAAAAAGTATTTTATTGATTTTTTACAGAGAGGAAGGGAGAGGGATAGAGAGTTAGAAACATCAATGAGAGAGAATTCTCCATCAGCCATCTCCTGCACACCCCCCACCGGGGATGTGCCCACAACCATGGTACATGTCTTTGACTGGAATCGAACCCGGGACCCCTCAGTCTGCAGGCTGACGCTCTAGCCACTGAGCCAAATGGGTTTCGTCAGGACTAGAACCTTTTAAAAGGCTATGGAAGTGGAGATATTGAAATCCATCTTTGTAAGGGAACAGTGATGCCTGTGAAGGAAACTGGAAGGTGGTTTTGACATTTTAAATGACTGTCTTTGTAAGCCACAATCAGCACCTGAACCTAGGGAGGCGTCTGGTGGAGGAAAGCTTGTCAGTGTGGTTATTTGTGATCAGTGGGATGAGAAGAGTAACCATTGCCTTTTACTGTGCGGGTGTGTGTGTGTGTGTGTGTGTGTGTGTGTGTGGGCAGTTCATTCACTTCCCACAGACAGGTGAGCAGAGATGAGCTCAGGTGATGAGGTGATTTCTGCAGCCCTCCCCTCACCCCCAGTTTGTAAGTAGCCACATTCAGATAATTGGCTGCTACATCAGTCCTACCCGTCTGCTGGTGCTGGTGGCAGGACTGGGCACCAGTATGTAGGCAGAGCCACATTTCACAGTGCCTCTTGATGAGTTGTCCCCACACAGCATTCCTGGAGCCTTTCTCTAAGAGAACAGATGGTCGTGGGACCTAGAACACCATCAGGGCTCCCAGTGCCTCTTCTCAAAGTCTATGCTTTTCCTTGAGGGTGGCACCCACCCACACGTTCCCAGCACAGCAGCAGGACCCTGGCATGCATTAGGCCAAAAGCTTTTTTATAAGCCTTACAAAGGCACCTTAGTGAGAAGTCAGCTCTATCTCATGCTCACAGAAAAGGTTGTTCTCAGGTGGGTGGCTTTGTTCCTGTGGCTTTGCCACCAGCTTCCCAGGAAGAACCTGTTTCAGACCTGTGGGGGCGTGAGAGGAATGGGTAAGCACTTTGAGATTTCATCTGTAGTAGTTAAAGCTTTTATGCCATTGGGAACAGATCCACCTTGTGGGAAAATGATTGGCAGGGAGGGGGGCAGGGAGATTATAAAAATTCAAAGGCAGGACGCTTCCTGGGCCTTAAGAAGGGAGAAGGGTTTCTCATGATACCCCCTAGTTTTCATATCTGCTTTGCTCTGCCTGGCTGCCTTAATAGTTTCCTGTTACAGATTTCTGTTTTTCTTCTCCCAAGTGGTAGGAGTCCCTTGTGTACCCCCTTCTCCACTGCACCCCAATCCCATATCCAGTTTCTGTGTCTCTTTTTGATTACCTTCCTCTATACTTCTGGTGGCTATCAGTAGTAGCCTTGATGTCACTCTCAAGGTTTCTTCTGGTGCCTTCTAGCAGAACACAGCATGAGTATGGCCTCAGAGAAAGGCCTGTGACACCTTTTTGTGGTGCCAGAAGGGAAAATGAAAACTTACCAGCCAAGCACCTCCTAATAGCATGCTATCATGCTATATTGAGGTGAAAGGGAGGAGATGGAAATATAACCTGCCACATATGTGCCTTGAGGATCAAGTGGATTCTCACTCCTTCCTCCTTGCCTACAGTAGCTTTGTCATCTTGATTGTTGAGTTGTCCTGACACAGAGCTAGGCTTATATTTCTTTTACTCACATCAGCTGCCCACGTGCCTCCCATTGTCAGAGCAACCTCAAGTGGATTGAAGGCATTCTTTTTTTTATCCTCTTAAATGGTAGTTGACATCATGTCCTTGGGATCAGATTTGTCAGAAGCCTGGCTTCTGACAGAAAAACCAAGGTACCTTCAACCCCATTTCCTCAGGAGGTCCAATTGGAGGGCGACTGAGCTCCCCGGGCAGGTGTGGCCACTTGCCTGCGGCCCCCTCCAGCGCCTTGCTTTTCTTCAGCCCTCGTTTCCCTTTTCTCTGTTTAATTCCATCCATTTTCCTGCTGGCTGATTCTTGGATGATGATCTGATGTCGAGGAAGGCACGCCCCTCAGATTGCTTCCCCCTGCTCTCTTCAGGTAGACAGACTATAACTATTGGGGCTGAACTGCAGCAGGCCCTTTACTTCCTACAGCAGATGTTTAGTGAGCAATAGCAACAAGCCAGGCAATAGGGATGTGGCCAGTGAGGTAATCTGGGGGGCTTACCTGGTAATAAGACTAATAACTTGAAGGTAGTTAGAAGCATTGTGCAGAGATTAAACAGGGCTAGAGAGGGCTTGGGGAGCAGACTTATTTTTAGTGAGGGAGTTCAGAAAAGGCCTCTGACAAAATGACACTTTAATATTTACCCAAAGAAAGTTGGGGAGTGAGTGGCATGACTGTCTAGAGCAGTGGTCGGCAAACTCATTAGTCAACAGAGCCAAATGTCAACAGTACAACGACTGAAATTTCTTTTGAGAGCCAAATTTTTTAAACTTCTTCTAATGCCACTTCTTCAAAATAGACTTACGCAGGCTGTGGTATTTTGTGGAAGAGCCACACTCAAGGGGCCAAAGAGCTGCATGTGGCTCGAGAGCCGTAGTTTGCCAACCATGGGTCTAGAGGAAGAGTATTCCAGGCAGAGGGAAGACCTAGTACAGAGATCTTGAGGCTTTGTGTATATCAGGGGAATAGCAAAGCGATTAGTATGGCTGGAATAGATTGTGTAAGGAGGGGGATTGATAGAAGATGAAGTGATGATGGAGCCTGGGAGGTTATTATAGGAACATTAGAGGCTCGGTGCAGGAATTCGTGCACAGGTGGCGATCCCTCGGCCTGGCCAGATGGGGGCCGATTGAGGCAGACTTGGAGAGACCACTGGAGGTTGGCCTGCTGTGGGAGGTTGGCTGTGGGAACACACTGACAACCAGGGAGCAGCTCCTGTGTCAAGTGTCTGCCCCCTAGTGGTCAGTGCACTTCATAGCAACTGGTTTTTCTGTTGCTTAGGCTTTTATATATACAGATTGTCTTTCTCCGGGAATAAGGTGGGACCATTGGAGGATGATGAGCTGTTCTGGGTTTTAATGGGCCCCTTTTAGCTATTATATGGACATTGAACTGTTTGGAGGCAAGGGCAGAAACAGGGTCCTGGTTGTATCCTGAGTGGGTGGAGTGTGCCAGCAAGGGCAGGTGTGCAGAGGTGGTGCCAAGTGGATGTGAACCCCAAGAAGATATGTGGGTCCTTTGTTGGGTTCACAGCTTCCTCTGCTGTGTGTGACACGTTATGAGTGTTTGGGAAAATTGTCCCACTTTTTTCAGCTTCCATGTGCCATCTGCATAATGGGAGACAATGCCTGGTATGAGGAGTCGCTGGGGCAAGTGCATTCCCAGATGGGCAGTGACAACAGTGATGCTGTTATTTCACATACTGTCATTAAGGCTCCGTGTCCCAATCACTGGACTATGCTCTGCCCCCACATCTTTTGTCCACCTAACAAGATCTGTGATGTCTAGAGGAACCCTGGTGTGAGTCTAGCATTGCAGCTTCTGGAGTGGCCCACATGTACGTGCACTTTAGGGTCAGTGGAGGGGGTTGGGCCGAGACCTCACTCCTTTTGTTTTACAGATAGGGAAATAGGTACCTTTAAAAAAGAGATGAATCTGAGCTGGAATTTATTTTAAAACAGGCCTCCATGTTGCCTGC